TGTTCTAAACCCAAGCATTAACATGCTACCAGTACGTTGTGATATACACTAAACTACTCACACTACCTACAATTCCCTGGTGATATATAACATTTTTGCTGTTTCTTACTCTAATGGGCTTTTGCATTCAATATCTATATGTACTGTTGCAGTTCTCCTAAAAGAAGAACTCCAGGTATGGATAATGGATATTTCATACATAGAAACATTGTTCCACCGTGGATGATTTGACAAAGGGCCACGCCCAAAACACGTAGTCATGACGACAGCCCAGGCCTCCTCTTTAGAATCTATCTAGCTTGTGGTTCACCACAGCCAACAACTTCCACCCCGGCCTGATGACGTCACTTCCAGCGTGCCAGGTCTGTGGAATGGCTACACGCCAGCAATCAGTCTGAGCTCAAATCTCCACATCGGTCCCTAATCCTAAAGGGGTGTACAATCTGATGTCCCTAACTCACATTCATACATACACATACTAGGACCAATTTAGACAGGAGCCAATTAACCTCCTAGCATGTCTTTGGAGAGTGCAAGGAAACAGGAGTACCTGGAGGAAACCCACGCAGGCACAGGGAGAACATGCAAACTGCAGGCAGGTGGTGCCATGGTTTGAACTGGCAACCCCAGTACTGCCAGGCAGAAGTGCTAACCACTTAGCCACTGTTTTGTTATGTTACAACCAAAAACGTAAATGTATTTATTGGGATTGGATGTGATGGACCAACACAAAGTGGCACATAATCGTGAAGTGGAAGGAAAATGAGAAATGGTTTTCAAATTTTTAAAAAAATAAATCTCTGAAAAGTGTGGCGGCATTTGTATTCGGCCCCTCGGAGTCAGTACTTTGTAGGACCCCCTTTCCCTGCAATTCCAGCTGCAAGTCTTTTTGGGGATGTCTCTTTGCACATCTAGAGAGGGACATTTCTGCCCATTCTTCTTTGCAGCGTCTGGGAACAGCAATTTTCAGGTCTGACCACAGATTCTCCATTGTTTTGGGTCTGGACTGTGACTGAGCCATTCTAACACATGAAGATGCTTTGATCGGAACCATTCCATTGGAGCTCTGGCTGGATGTTTTGGGTCGTTGTCCTGCTGGAAGGTGAACCTCCACCCCGTTCTCAAGTCTTTTGCAGACTCTAACAGGTTTCCTTGTAAGATTGCCCTATATTTGGCTCCATCCATCTTCCCATCAACTCTGACCGGCTTCCCTGTCCCTGCTGAAGAAAAGCCTTCCCACCACATGATGCTGCCACCACCATGTTTCACGGTTGGGATGGTGTGCTCAGGGTGATGTGCAGTGTTAGTTTTTCACCACACATAGCGTTTTGCTTTTAGGCCAAAAAGTTCAATTTTGGTCTCCTCTGACCAGAGCCCCTTCTTCCACATGTTTGCTGTGTCCCCCACATGGCTTCTCACAAACTACAAACGGGACTTCTTATGGCTTTCCTCCAACAATGGCTTTCTTCTCGGCACTCTTCTATAAAGACCAGATTTGTGGAGTGCACGACTAATAGTTGTCCTGTGGACAGATTCTCCCACCTGAGCTGTGGATCTCTGCGGCTCCTCCAGAGTTCCCATGGGCCTCTTGTCCTCTTCTCTGATGAATGTTCTCTTTGCCCGGCCTGTCAGTTTAGGTGGGCGGCCATGTCTTGGTAGGTTTGCAGTTGTGCCGTACTCTTTCCATTTTCGGATGATGGATTGAACAGTGCTCCGAGAGATGGTCAAAGCTTGGGAGATTTTTTTTATCACCTAACCCTGCTTTAAACATCTCCACAACTTTATTCCTGACCTGTCTGGTGTGTTACTTGGCCTTTTATGATGCTGTTTGTTCACTAATGTTCTCTAACAAACCTCTGAGGGCTTCACAGAAACAGCTGGATTATATTGAGATTACATGACACACAGGGGGGGATCTATTTATTAATTAGGGGACTTCTGAAGGCGATTGGTTCCACTAGATTTCAGTTAGGGGTATCACAGTAAAGGGGGGGGCTGAATACAAATGCATGCCACAATTTTCAGATAATTATTTATAAAAAATTGTTGAAAACCATTTCTCATTTTCCTTCCACTTCACAATTATGTGCCACTTTGTGTTGGTCTATCACATCCAATCCCAATAAAATACATTTATGGTTTTGATTGTAACATGACAACATGGGGAACATTTCAAGGGGGAGAAGACTTTTTCAAGGCAATGTATGCCATAATGTGTTTTCTGTTCTCATATTGCTAGCTGCAGGGAACTGTAGTTGGGGTGTAAATAGTGTCAATGTAAATTGTATATATATTATATTTTTTGCTACTGATTTCATTTGTAAATATTCCCTTCCAAGTTTGTTCTTTTTTCCCCTCTCATGTTTTTTTTTAACATGGGATGCCCTGCTCCTGGGCTAAGGAGCTGTTTTTGTTCCCCAACCAGTGAGGACATGACTGTTTTGTAGTGAAGGGTGGATGTATCTAGACAGGATTTGTTTTTTTGTGAGTCAGAGGCTTGCTAGAAGCCTAGAATGAGTCGGCCTGGGAGTCAAGTAGAGAGGTCACCTCAGGACAGGCTGGGAGGTTCCACAGATCAAGGATTCTGGAGCCCTCCCACCCTTCTAGAAACTGGGGGAACTTTCTAGAAGAGGAGGGGAGGAGGCCTAGATTTGCATGTTTAAAAGGGAACTTGGCCAATCCATAGGCAGGAGGCCAGGCATGATGGCTAAGAGCAACACTTAAATGTGGGAAAGCCTGAACAGTAGGGGAGTCGGGTTTTAGATGGACTGAAGGAAGGTGTTGGAGTGTCTGCCGTATCGTTCTCTCTCTTCATTTCCTAAGATAATCACAGCCAGTGTGGAGGGAGTGGGGCATGACTGAACCATGCTCTCTGTGTCCCAAAGACATACAGAACTGGCTCGAGAGTGAGCAGGCATGAGTGCCCCCAGTGCAAGCAGGTTGGCTGGTAGTACTTGGCAAGCGGGAGGGGCCACAAGTCCTGACGGAGACCCGAGAAGAGGAGGGATAGGGCTGCTCTGTGCAGTACCAATATAGAGCAGGTAAGTATGACATGTTTGTTATTCTAATGAAAAAAAAAAACCTTTAGAACCACTTTAAATTCCCTCATATATTGCCAATTATAATCTCATATTTTTAATAGTTACCAAAATAAACTGATACCCTCCCTTTTTAGATTTTGCACTGGTTTCAAGATACAGAGAGGCCAATGTTTGTGCCTGTGGTGGGTTAGCACCGGATGCAGAATCCCCCATGAGAAAATAGGAGTGTCTCTTAGGCTTTAATTTTATTTTGTGTATTGGGGATAAAAAATGTCCTCGAAAAAAAAACTATTGATGCAATCAATTCTGTTGTACTCACAGTAATTCCTCTATCCGGCTTGTGGTCAGAGCCGCCATCAGATCCCTGAAATGAGGACCCTCCAGATGGTTCCCAGACAGGTCCAGTGTCCTCAGGGTCTGGTTATCTCTTATTCCCGATGCCAGGTCGGGGCAGGAGGTATGTGTTAGTTTATTACCACGCAAACTGTAGAAGAAGAGAAGAATAACTGAAAGAACCTTGAATATAATATTTCACAACAAGACATCACAAAGTTATATTAAATCCTCAGCGGCTGATATAGTCCTTTGCTGAATATGCAGCTTCTTTATTATTTTAATCCTTCCTATGTTCCAGTTCAAGACAGCTGACCCAGGTTTCCTGTGTCAGGGGGTAACTCCTTGCAGCATTCTATGGAGCCATCCTTGTATGTGGAGACTGGAGCTGCCCACATGGAAGAAAAATATATTTGAAATATATTTTAAAAATGTTCTCCCCAAATATATTAACATATATTTAAAATAGTAAAATATTGGCCTTATTCAATATATTTCAATAAATAAACAAATATATATATACTTTTTTTTTTTTTGCATGTTGAAATGCGATTTTATTACAAAATATCTGAAAAATATTTTTAAAAATACATTTCAAATATACTGTATGTCTTTAAAAATACAAATCTACATTTGTGGACTGCAATTACAAATACTGTATATGTAACATATATGTTAAAATGACTTTTTTATATGTTAAAAAAAAAATCTGAAGAATATATTTAAAAAAAAAAAAGACAGACTGAACCGTAGCCATTTTGCACATGTTCAGTTTGGTATGTATTGCTAGAGAGGTATTTTTTTTTGGGGGGAGAGTACATGTGATCAGCACAGGGCCAATCAGCTCTGTGCAGACAGAGGTCAGGGGTTCTGCATCCTCCTAGAGCAGAAATAAAACTTCTCCTACAGGCTGTAACCAGTGCTCTACTGGACACTGATAGAAGTCACAAGAAGTCAGCTATATACTGCTGATGAGAAAAGGGATTTAACAGTTTATATTTACTAAAATAATTTAATTACCATGTTGTGTGTACTGTGGGAGACCAGGTTTAGTGAATGCAGCATCCGGGGAGAGCGGATATAGTGAATGCGGGGTCCGGGGAGAGCGGATATAGTGAATGCGGGGTCCGGGGGAGAGCGGATATAGTGAATGCAGGGTCCGGGGAGAGCGGATATAGTGAATGCGGGGTCCGGGGAGAGCGGATATAGTGAATGCAGGGCGGGGAGAGCGGATATAGTGAATGCGGGGTCCGGGGGAGAGCGGATATAGTGAATGCGGGGTCCGGGGAGAGCGGATATAGTGAATGCGGGGTCCGGGGAGAGCGGATATAGTGAATGCGGGGTCCGGGGAGAGCGGATATAGTGAATGCGGGGTCCGGGGAGAGCGGATATAGTGAATGCGGGGCCCAGGGAGAGCGGATTTAGTGAATGCGGGGTCCAGGGAGAGCGGATATAGTGAATGCGGGGTCCGGGGAGAGCGGATATAGTGAATGCGGGGTCCGGGGAGAGCGGATATAGTGAATGCGGGGTCCGGGGAGAGCGGATATAGTGAATGCGGGGTCCGGGGAGAGCGGATATAGTGAATGCGGGGTCCGGGGAGAGCGGATATAGTGAATGCGGGGTCCGGGGAGAGCGGATATAGTGAATGCGGGGTCCGGGGAGAGCGGATATAGTGAATGCGGGGTCCGGGGAGAGCGGATATAGTGAATGCGGGGTCCGGGGAGAGCGGATATAGTGAATGCGGGGTCCGGGGAGAGCGGATATAGTGAATGCGGGGTCCGGGGAGAGCGGATATAGTGAATGCGGGGTCCAGGGAGAGCGGATATAGTGAATGCGGGGGTCCGGGGAGAGCGGATATAGTGAATGCGGGGTCCGGGGGAGAGCGGATATAGTGAATGCGGGGTCCGGAGAGAGCGGATATAGTGAATGCGGGGTCCAGGGAGAGCGGATATAGTGAATGCGGGGTCCGGGGGAGAGCAGATATAGTGAATGCGGGGTCCGGGGAGAGCGGATATAGTGAATGCGGGGTCCGGGGAGAGCGGATATAGTGAATGCGGGGTCCGGGGAGAGCGGAGATAGTGAATGCGGGGTCCGGGGAGAGCGGATATAGTGAATGCGGGGTCCAGGGAGAGCGGATATATAATGCGGGGTCCAGGGAGAGCGGATATAGTGAATGCGGGTCCGGGGAGAGCGCGGAGATAGTGAATGCGGGGTCCGGGGGGGGAGAGCGGATATAGTGAATGCGGGTTCCAGGGAGAGCGGATATAGTGAATGCGGGGTCCAGGGAGAGCGGATATAGTGAATGCGGGGTCCGGGGAGAGCGGATATAGTGAATGCGGGGTCCAGGGAGAGCGGATATAGTGAATGCGGGGTGGGGAGAGCAGATATAGTGAATGCGGGGTCCAGGGAGAGCGGATATAGTGAATGCAAGGTGTGGGGAGAGCAGATATAGTGAATGCGGGGTCCGGGGAGAGCGGATATAGTGAATGCGGGGTGGGGAGAGCGGATATAGTGAATGCGGGGTCCAGGGAGAGCGGATATAGTGAATGCGGGGTCCAGGAGAGAGCGGATATAGTGAATGCAAGGTGTGGGGAGAGCAGATATAGTGAATGCGGGGTCCAGGGAGAGCGGGATATAGTGAATGCAAGGTGTGGGGAGAGCAGATATAGTGAATGCGGGGTCCAGGGAGAGCGGATATAGTGAATGCGGGGTCCAGGGAGAGCGGATGTAGTGAATGCGGGGTCCGGGGAGAGCGGATATAGTGAATGCAAGGTGTGGGGAGAGGGGATATAGTGAATGCGGGGTCCGGGGAGAGCGGATATAGTGAATGCGGGGTCCGGGGAGAACGGATATAGTGAATGCGGGGCCCGGGGAGAGCGGATATAGTGAATGCGGGGTCCTGGGAGAGCCGATGTAGGGAATGCGGGGCCCGGGGTTTAGTAATACTTTAATTTCATATATACGTGATTTAAATACCCCAAGTAATAGATATAAAATAGAAAAAGAATTATAGCATTATGCTGCAAATATGTTTATTTCACAAAATTATGCATATAACGCAATATTTGAAAATTAGACTGATTTCTAAATACTTCCCAAAATGGTGGAGCTTTCAGAATCTGGTGCATCTGTGTATAGAAACCAATCAGCTTCCAGGTTTTATTATCAAAGCTTTATTGAACAAGCTGAAGGTAGAAGCTGATTGGCTCCCATGCACAGCATCACCAGATTCTGAGAACCCCAGTTTTAGTAAATCCCCCCCCAATGGTGTTACAGAGTAGACATGGTTAAAATGAAAAAAGTTGTTTCGTTTTGTTTGATTAGTGAAATTCGTATATTTTGTTTTTCAGAGTTCATTTAATTTATTCAAATTCGACTGAATTCAAAAGCAATTCTAATGTTACAATCCATGTGTGTATTTGATGGTATACAGGCTATATGAAGAGTTGCGCGACCATATTGGAAATTTCTATTTCAGCAAAATTTTTACAATGCCTTTGTTGATCACTACTCACGTCTCCATAGTGCCGCTCACAATTTTAGTACTTTAGTCTTTTCTATTCTGTTCTTTTCTATTATTTAATATTCTATTCTAATGAATTCTGTTCAAATTCAAAATTATTCCACTCAAAATTCAAATTTCTTAAGGCAGTTATATTGTTTCTATTTTATTCTATTCTATTGTTTTTCTATACTATTCTATTTTATTCTTTGATTTTCTTTTCTATGTTTTTCTATTCCATTCCTTTATATTTTGTTGTATTTTGATCTGTTTTTATTTTTTATTATTTTTTTTTATATTGTTTTATATTTTTTTATTTTCTACTATAATCTTTTCTATTCTTATCGATTCCATTCTTTCCTATTCTATTCTTTGATTTTCTAGTCTAATCTTTTCTATTTTATTCGAATGGATTATTTTCTTTTCTATTCCTATTTTCTATTCTATATTCTCTTTTACGCTTTTATTTTCTACTTTATTCTGTTCTATTCTTTTATTTTCTATTCTAATCTATTCTTTTATTTTCTATTATTTTCTATTGCTTTATTTTCTGTTCTATTTTATTCTATTCTTGTTTTCAAATTGGTTTTCAAATTTGAATTTGTTGTTGCATGTGTTTTCGAATCGATTCGAATTTGGGCCTAATTTCTTTTTGTTATTTCAGATTCGTTAAAATTTGTCACTATTGTAATTTGGATACATCCAAATCTCCAAATAACAGAACATTTGTCCAAATTTCGATACGGAACGAAATGAACTGCACGTGTCTATTACAGAGAATTACCCTCATAAAAAGCTAGAGATGTGGTCATACCTCTAGCATTAATGATGCTCATTTTCTGCATTTGTAATTTTTTTTTTCAGTTCACTGCACAGTTAACAATTATATGTCCTCATATCTTGCCATTTATAATCCTGTATTTTTAAATGGTTACCAAACTAAATTGATACCTTCCCTTTTAGAGTATGTGATACAGAGAGCCCAATGCGTGTGCCCAGGGCCGTGGATAAGGGGGGGTACCACCAGTCCTGTACGGGGCCCAGCACAGCAGGGGGCCCAGGCAGCTGGGTGAATTGGATGTGGGTAGGGAGGGTGATCGGCACAATGGGGGGGAGAGTAATTACTGGAACCAATCCCCTGTATGGCTCTCCCTGCAGCAACTGAAAACTGGCTTCTTCTCCTCTCTTTCCTGCTTTCAGCTGCTGCAGAGAGCCATACAGAGGGTCGGTTCCATTACTTGCTCCCCCCCCCCCCCCCCTACTGCAACCATCACCCTCCCTGTGCCCCCCTACGTTTTCCCCTTCTGCCCAGGCCCCCTTGTGTGCCCTCACCTCCACAGTGCTGCCAGGTTCCATTCTCTCCTTCTCACTGGAAGCTGCCAGCACACAACAAGATCCAGCAGGATGGAGAGTGGAGGAAGGGTCTGGTAAATATGTCACATTTACCAGCCCCTTCCTTTCCTGAATGAACACAATGAGGTTGATTTACTAAAACTGGAGAGTTCAAAATCTGGTGCATCTCTACATAGAAAGCAATCAGCTTCCAGGTTTTACTGTCAAAGCTTAATTGAACAAGCTGAAGGTAGATGCTGACTGGCTACAATGTACAGCTGCATCAAATTTTGCACTCTCCAGTTTTAGTAAATCAATCACAATGAGTAATTGGTACCGATCACTCACTGTGTTCATTCATAATTGAAACAAAGTAAACTTTTTTTTTTGGGGGGGGGGTTTGTCAGGTTGGCTGTATGGGGCCCTGTCGTTTCTAACCGTAGCCCTGTGTGTGTCGGTGGTGGGATCTCACTGGTAGAGTTCTGTGTGTCTAAGCTTAGCACTGGAGGCAGAATCTCCTATGAAAAAGTAAGAGTGCCCCTTAGGATTTATTGCTTGTAATGCAATGCTGGATACAATAATTAAAAGCAAGTCATACACACACAGTAAACAGGCAGTCACAAACACAAATATGTTGACCCAGCATTTACACCATTAATTATTCTAAGAATGTGAGAGACCCACTATCAGATGAATACCTGCCCCGGCACATCATAGCATTCACTCAACACTCCAAGAAATAACAGAATCCAACTGCAATATTCTTGCACTGTCAAAACCTCCACTTTTATAATCACACGACACACAGGAGGATATATCTTATAGTCATCACAATCTGCATAATAACACACACCAATAATAATGTGAGCATTGCAGCATGAAATAGACACATCGTTTGACAGCGTCACAGCATAGAATTAATACATTACCAAAGCTATGGGAAGGCGGGAAGGAACAGACCCCATCAGAACCATACTGCACTGGGGGTCACGGGAAAGCCATTAACGCGACCAACCAAAGAGCCCATATAGCCTTGGCAAGAGTCCCAGTGTCAGAGCGTCCTCTTCCGCATAGGAAGGCGGCTTGTGATTGATCCCGCTTAAGCCCCCTGTTTTTAAACCCATTTTCTGGCAGCTTTTTCAAAGTGGGCGGGCGCCACACCCACTCTAGGAGGCGCTAGCAGAAAGGTTCCGTGAGGCTAACAGAGTCACGCCCAACCACTACACCTAACAAACAACGTTTATCTAAGAATATCACACTTTTGCTTCAGATCAGCTTCTTATCTACCCTAAACTTAAAGATTTCTAACTTCTTAAACAAGTAGACATCTTTAATGGCACAAGCAAGTTCTTATCGAATTTAAGCAGTCTAATGTAACATGTCTAGGTGTCACAAACATGTCCTGTCCCACAAACACTTCTTATCTGCTTTAAGCAGTCTAATATCGTGTGACTCTGTTCCTTGGGCCTAGAGAAATTACAGCAATGTCTCATGCTCCTGGCATTTGGGCAACAATGGTTTATTGTAAAAATTTCCCAAGAAAAAAAGGGTCCAAGGCCAACACATTTCATAGGCATTACAATTACTATATTGTGTGTTGTGGATAAATAATTTGTCCTACAGTCGGTCTTTTTATTCTCACATTAATTCCTCTATCCGGCTTGTGGTCAGAGCTGTCATCAGATCCCTGACATCAGGACTCCCCAGATTTTTATTGGACAGGTCCAGTCTCTTCAGCGTCGGGTCATTTCTTATTCCCAATGCCAGGTGGATGCAGGAACTGTCTGTCAGTTTATTACCATACGAACTTAAAAAAAAGAGAAGAATAACAGAAAATAACTAGTAATCTAATATTTCACAGCAATGTATCTTAAAGCTGTAGTAAACTGCAGGGAAAAAAAAAAGTCCCACGCAAGGCAATGTCATAAGGGCTGGTGCTAGACTATTTTGAACCCTTGGCATGACCAGCTATTTGTGCCCCCCCCCCCAAAAAAAAAAAAATAAACATGTTTTTAAAACCATTGTCCGCCCCCCTCCTCCTCCTCCCATCACCTCCATGACCCGCCATCCTCCCAGGCTCGGCTCACCTCTGATGGCTCCTCCCGGGGTGCGGAGTCCAAACTGCGGCTCTCAGTGAGGACAGGCGGCCTCCCAGCACTACATGGCTTCCCTCCCATACACATCGGGCCCCGATCATCCTACTCACATAGGGTTAACCCTGCAACCAGAGCACACCCCCGCCTATTGATTGGCTCCAGATGTGTAGAAGAAGGTGGAGCCAGTGCTGGACATGCCCCATTTAGTCACCAGCTGGCTCCCTGTTACAGCTGGAAGATCGTGTGTGTTCCGGAGATGTACCGACTGATCCTCCAATCAGAGACTGCTGACCACCCGAAGTCCTGGGCTTATCACTTCCCATCATAGGGGGAGCCGACACTACTACATGGAATACTGATATATATATATACACCCTCATGAACATGCAGATCAGTCATCATTTGTTAGACGCATTTCTGCTGAATTTGTTGTTTCTATTCTGTCTCTCAGTGTTACACCGAACATTCGATTTTTAGACTGATCATTTTTGTGTGAGGGGCGAACATTCAACATCAGCAGGGGAGTGAATACGCATTTCCTTCACTGTATATATACAGTTGCAAGAAAAAGTATGTGAACCCCTTGGGATTACGTGGAGTTTTGCATGAATTGGGCATAAAATGTGCTCTGAACGTCATCTAAGTCACAACAATAGAAGAACACAGTCTGCTGAACATAATACTACACAAACATTAGATGTTGCCATGGTTTAATTGCACATAACATGTAAACATTCACAGTGCAGGGAGGAAAAAGTATGTGAACCTTTGGACTTAATAACTGGTTGACCCTCCTTTGGCAGCAATAACCTCAACCAAACGTTTCCTGT